TGCCGGGCTCGCCCGCCGGCCTCCCCGCTCCCGCTGTCATCCTCGGGCCTCCTCCCCTCGGGCCTTTCATTCTGCTGGCGTCCTCCAGCCTTTGCGCTCTGCTGTGGAACCTCGGAATACGCTTTGCGCGCGAAGTCTCGCTGCCAGTTTTACTTCTTGTGCAGAATGAGTCATCACACGCTGGCGACAACCAAGTCCTATTTATCGCCATCTCCTCCCTTTAACGAGAAGCAGTGTTCTTGCGAAGTCCCGTGAAACCGAGCCTGCTGTGTTTTTTCCCCAGATGACTATTGTTCATGTAACTCTTTTCCCCTTGATTATAAATGGCCTTGCAGGTGTGCAGTAAATGCTTCGCTCTCTTATTTTAAAGGAAAAGCAGTGTCAACAGAATGATATAAAACGCACAGACACCTTTACATTCCTGACTTCTGGAATTACATGATGGCAATATAAACACCAAGTAGCTCTGTGCAACCATTTCCTTTTAGAGTTTCTCCGTTTATGTTGGTGCACATGTGTTTGTTCTTTTCTGATCAATGTGCTTCTTTTAAAAATTTATTTATTTATTTATTTAATTTTATTTTTATTTGAGTTGGAGTCTCACTCTGCCGCCCAGACTGGAGTGCAATGACATTCTCCTGGCCACCACAGCCTCCACCTACTGGGCTCCGGCGATCCTTCTGCCTCAGCCTTCCAAGTAGCTGGAACTACAGGCCCACACTACCACGACCAGCTAATTTTTTGATTTATTGTAGAGATGAGATCTTGCTAGGTTGCCTGGGTGGGTCTCGAACCTGCGGGCTCAGGCAATCCACTCACGTCAGCCTCCCAAAGCTGACTGAGCCACCGAGCCCGGCTCCATGTGCTTCTTTAGGAAAGGCCAGAAATTGTTTTCTGTCTTCTATGACTTTAAAAAAGCCTTTTTTTTTTAAAGAAATTGGTATCTTACTAGTGTTTCATTTTCCTCCTAAATAAGCTGATTTATTTGGGGATATCTCTTGTAATAGCGGTTTACAGATTTTTTTTTTTTTTTTTTGGAGTCAATGTCTATGCAGTGGCATGCTCACGGCCACCGCAGCCTCGACCTGCTGGGCTCCGGCGATCCTTCCGCCTCAGCCTTCCAAGTAGCCGGAACCACAAGCATGTGCCACCACACCCGGCTAATTTTCTGATTTATTGTAGAGACAAGGCCTCACCATGTTGCTTAGGCTGGTCTCGAACTCCTGAGCTCAGGCAGTTCTCTTGCCTCTGCCTCCCAAAGTGCTGGGATTACAGGTGTGACCCACTGCACCCAGCTGCAGATTCTTAAAAGAAGGAAAGTAAGCTGGTTTTCGACAGGAAGGTCCATATGTGGGTGTGTGGGGAAGGGGTAGAGAGCTGGGCTCTGTCTGATATGTGTGTCTGGGTGGGCTGTAACGCTAAGAACATACAGTGTCAGTGAGACCTGCATTCATCCATAAGTGTCTGTCCTTCCTACCTGCAATCAGGTAGCTGGAGACCCTCTCCTTGTCTCTTGGCCAATTTTCCTTTTGTGATGACTCTTTCCAGCCAAGGCCTTTCATCTTGTTCACGTACGGATATGTTGGGAACTGACTGGAAGAAAGTGGGGTGAGGATGAAGACTAATAGTATGCCTGTCCATGCAAAGGATTTTGCTGGTTCCTTTGGTGACTTTCGTGGACTTCAGCAAGGAGAGTAGAATATGAGCAAGGAAGGGTGATTTTTGAATGAGAAAGGTCATTTAGGCCAGGGCTTTGTCTTCTCAGTTCATCAATATAGCAACACTTGGTGACCACAGACTCCCAAACAGGCTTTCGTCTGACAATTTCCATTTTGATTTTCAGTGCTGCCAAGTCTGATAGACAGACTAGGAGATGCTAAAGACTCTGTGAGGGAACAAGACCAAACTCTGCTGCTAAAGATCATGGATCAAGCTGCTAATCCCCAGGTAGGGCAAGAGGAGTGTGGGGTGCCGCCTGGCGTGCGTGCGTGTGTATGTGTGTGTACTTGCACCAACAGCGTGCGACTCCATAGACCTGGTTTCTTTTAAGCTGTTGTGTTACAGATGAAAATTTTCATAGCATTCAGCTTGCTCCTTCCTACAATATATTTAAACAAGTAGTAAGTTGCAAAAATGTGATGTTAGTAAGTTAGTGGATTTAACACGAGTATTGAATAAGTTCGTGGACTTAGCATGCTTGGTTTTAATCCATTTGGTGTTTAAGCTCATTTCCGTAAACTACGGGAGGCAGCTGTGGGTCTGGCGGCCTGGCTGGAGCTCTGGGCTCTGTTGGCTAGGGAGCCGGGCTGCTGGATGGATGACACAGCTCTGCCTCCCAGGGCCCCGCTGTCCATCGCTTGGCGGGGCAGAGGGTCAGAAGAAGCAGAGGGCAGTGTCGGTGTATGATCCAGGGGAAACCGCCTGCTGTCTTTTGCGCTGCCCTTCTCCACCCATGAAATGGAGACGATATTGCCTTCCTTCCAGGGTTGTTGGGAGATCAAACACTGTTGTGTATGTGACCGTGTTTTTAAAATTTTAACTCGGCATACTCGATACAGTGACTCACGCCCTCATTTTCCACATGCACCTGAGGGCGTTAGATGGGTTGGTGGGGGGGACCGATGTGGCACCCGTGCAGCAGCTCTTCCTCTGCTGTTGCTAAGTGCCAGGCTGCAGCACTTCCTCTCTTCTCATCTGCTCTTTGTCTCCTGCAGTATGTATGGGACAGAATGCTTGGAGGCTTCAAACACAAGAACTTTCGTACTCGAGAAGGCATCTGTCTCTGCCTTATTGCAACACTCAATGCGTAAGTCTTGGCGAACCTGGCATTTTTACTTGGCTAAAGTGTTTTAAAACCGCCTTTTCTTGTGGAATAAGTTTAGATGTACAGGAAGTTGCAAAGAAACATACTGGGAGGTCCCCATTTTCCGCCCGTGCTAGCTTGCACTACGGTAGCACGATGTCAGTCCCAGGAAATCAATGTCGATGCAATCCCCAGAGCACCATTCCGACTTCTTCAGGTCGGTGTGCATTTATGTGTGTGTGTACACTGCAGCGTCCCTGCAGGGCTCCCTCACCCTCCCCTTTCGTAGCCACACCCTGACCCCTGGACCACTAGTCCGTTCGTTTCAAGAGCACTGTGTAAATGGAGTCTCATACGGTCTGTACCACTTGCGATGGCCTTTTGTCACTCAGCAGAATTCCCTTGAGGTTTCATGTTATGCCGTTGACTGTAACAGCAGTTCATCTGGCTTCATCACTAAGTAGGGCTCCATGGCACACATGTGTCACACTTGGTTTAGCCGCTCACCTGTTGAAGAGCCTTTGAGTGATACCCAAGTTTTGGCTGTTACTAATGACGCTGCTGTAAACATGCATGTCCGAGTTTCTGCATGAACGCACGTTTTCCTTTTTCTTGGATTAGTGACCAAGAGTCCAGTTACGGGGGCGGTGGGTAAGTCCACTTTGAGTTTTAAAAGAAACTGTGCCGTTTTACATTCTCACCAGTTTCTTCATGCCCTTACTAGCCTTTGGATATTATCACCATTTTTCATCTTAATCACTCTGATATGTGTTTAGTGATATCTTATTGTGGTTTTAGTTTGTATTTCTCTAGTGGCTGTTGATGTGGAACATCTTTTCGTCCTCTTGTTAGTGGGACAGTCTTAAATTAAAAATTTCAAGTCACTTTTTCTGATTATGAAAAGAGGATTGTATATATCAGAAAAATTCATAAGGATAAAATAAAGGCTACCACCTTCAAATAACTTTTGTTAACACTTGGTACATATTATTCAACCTGTAAGGTTATATTATTTTTAAAAACAAAATTGAGATTATAATGTTCATATTACTTTGTGAATGTTTCCCTCTTAATGTGTTAGCCATTTCAGCGCCATTAAATTTAGTCTTATGTGGCTGAAGCTTTTTAAAAAGTTTCTAGCCTTTGATCAGAGTGGTTCAATTTCTAGGAATTCATGCTAAGGACGTAGCTTAGTCAAGAGATTTGTAGTAATAGAGGTTATTTGTGACAGCATGTGATAGCAGTGGTTGTGATGGTGAAAAGTTCTAATTTAAGGTTCCCTAGGAGAGCAGGGCTTTGCTGGATGCTCTGTGGCATTTGATCCGTCTTTCCATCCGGCAGTATAACCGAATGTCCTGTTGCAGAGAGCTGTGCCACAGCACTTGGGAGAATTAAGTGAGGCCCCTCGGGGGACTTGCAATTGGGCTGGGTATCCTGGCAGAACAGTTATGCAGAGGTAGCAGGTGGGGGACAGGCAGGGCTGCGTGGAGGCCAGGACCTTGCCCCAGCCTTAAAGGGGTGGGGCTGGATCGGAGACAGCCCTGGGTGGCCGGAGGAAGACATGTTTATGAGATGCCACTGAAGGCTTTAAGCTCTGCAGAGGGGCCATGGGGATGTGTTTACTTTGGCATCTGCGTGGATGGGACTGAAAAAGCCTTTGAGTGAGGTGGCAGTGGGCCCTGGGGCAGCGAGGGGGGGGGGCATGGACAGAGAGACACCTTTCTTTCCTTAATTATCACTGAATAAAGCACTCTGTTTGGTTTCAGCTCTGGAGCACAGACTTTAACACTAAGCAAGATTGTGCCACATATATGCAATTTACTTGGAGATCCAAACAGCCAGGTGAGTGAGAAAGAAGATCCTGAGGTGGGGTGGAGGGGAGGGACTGTTGCGTGTAGACCTTTCAGATGCATTCTGGTGTTCTGTGTGTATCTGATCGGTGGGTGGGGCCTCGGGCATCTTTATAGAACTCTGATCATTGTTTAGGATATCTAATACCCGTTTGCGTTTACAAAATTTGATTGTTGATGGTGGTGGCCACGCTATCTTCTTCTATACACAGGGCTATGAAATCACTGGCCTACACCTTGGTGTGATCCAGACCAGCCTCTGAGATAAGACCACTCTGGTCACCTTCTCTGCAGCCAAAAGGAATGGGCACAGCGTGAGAAAATCTGTGCTGGTTGAGGGGAACAGGCTTGCCTCATGGCGATACAGGGAGAGATTGGAAGGGTGCCTGAGGGGACTTTTGTAAGGTGGTTTTGCTTTTGCTGGTGGCTACACTGGTGTGTATCATTGTGAAATCTCCTCGAAATGAACCCTTAAGAACCGTGTGTGCTAGTTTATGCAGATTTTACCTTCACTGAGGAGAAGGTGCCACTTCCATCGTGTAGGAGTGGGAGGGGCGCTGGCCTCTCATCAGTCGGCAGTTGCCAGACCGTTTATGAGGTTTTCCAGGTCTGGGCTGTGGAAGTGCCAGCTCTTTCCACTGTTCAATTCTGCTTCTCACCCAGGGTCATTTTTATCATGGCAGCTCCCACAAACTGGTGAGTACTTCATGAGATGAAAGGGCAGGGCATGGAACCGTAGCTTACAAAAGAAACACACATGGTCGACAGGCCTCTCCGAATCTTGACTGGTGATCGCCTAGTTGCCCTCCCGAGACGCGGTGCTGGGCGTGCGTCCACTGACCCGCCCTGGCCCTGGTCCCTCTGGGCCGCATCCCTTCGGCTCTCTGGCCGCCTCTGTCCTCCTCTTGCGCGTGGTGTTAGCCCTCCTTCTGGCTGTTGCAGTGCTGCCTCCCAGCCTCTCCTTGCTCCCTGCCTGCCGGCCCTCGCCTGTCTCGCTGCCTTTGTCCATTCGTGCTCTTACTCAGCCTTTGTTGAAAAGTCTAGGTGCTTTTATTTACTGAATCATACTTTACGAAGGGGACCCCCAAAACGTGGGAGTTATTTCTTGGAGGGCAAGTCCTTTGTAGTACAGGTTTCCCCTGTTATGTAAATGTCCTAGAACCCATTGGCATCAGTGGACCAGCTGGCATTGTTGTGAGAGGCTGCGTTGGGCTTTAGTGAATTTTTTTGGCGCTTCTTTCAATGTGTTTGACCTTTTCTTGATGGGTGATTTACGAGCACACCTGCCCCCACCAAGCTGAGTGTTCAGCAGTTTTTGACCAAAATGGCCTGACCTCCAGGCCCCACCATCGTTGTTCACCTTATCTCTCCCCGAGCTGTGTTTTTTGTTTTCCCGGATGAAAAAGTCCTCAGAGGGAAATGTTTTGCTGATATGGAAAAGGTGAGGCAAAAAAAAAATGGCCGAAGCACTAAAAGGCATAAAAATTTACGAATTAAACAGGATTTTGAACAGTGGAAAAAGCATCTCAATAGGTGTATTGCATCAAACAGAGAATACTTTTTTTTTTTTTGAGTTGGAGTCTCACTCTGTCACCCAGGCTGGAGGGCAGGGGCATGCTCCTGGCCACCGCAGCCTCGACCTGCTGGGCTCAGGCTATCCTTCCACCTCAGTCTTCCAAGTATCTGGAACTACAGGACGTACCACTATGCCCGGCTAATTTTTAAAAAAATTTATTGTCTAGATATGGTCTCGCCAAGTTGCCCAGGCTGGTCTCGAACCCATGGGTTCAGGCAATCCTCTTATCTCGGCCTCCCAACGTGCTGGGATTATAGGCATGAGCCTCCACACCCGGCACAGAGAATACTTTGAAGGGACTGAAATTTAAACGTGTAAGAATAAATACGTAATTATTAATACATAAATTCCTGTTTTTTTCACGTCCAACACTTCCTCAAAAATAACTTGAGCTGTTTTTCAAAGGATTCTAGATTACCGAGTAGGTTATTTTGTCACGCGTGCCCTCTTCTGGGCTTCTGTTTCTGCTCTTGTGGGAGACATTCTTCGCAGAGATCTGTAGGGCAGAAGAGCCCGCTTGGCCAGGCGAAGGGACGCGTTCCTCGCGCAGACGCCATCATGGGCCAGAAGGCGGATGTGAAGCTTCACGCGGTGCCTGTGGCGGTCTTAGAGCCTGGGTAGGCGCCGAGGCGGGCTGCCCTCAACGCGCGGCGCTTGCG